TAAAATTGCTGTAAGCTCATGATTTTGAATTATAGTGATATTTTGGATTATATAAAGTAAAATAATGAAAGTTTTATACTCAATGTAAATTTAAAAGCTAATTAAAATAATTTGTAATAACATAAGCAATAAAATTAAATTTTAATATGAATACTATGTTTATTTTAAGCTTTCAATTTTAAGAGTCGACGGCAAGACAAATCAAATAGCAAACTAATCGACATCGAGGTGAGTACTCATGTTCTTATACTATAGTAATATTTTATTTCTTCTAGATCAAATGCATTTATTAGTACTATCTTTATTTATATTAAAATTGCTGTAAGCTCATGATTTTGAATTATAGTGATATTTTGGATTATATAAAGTAAAATAATGAAAGTTTTATACTCAATGTAAATTTAAAAGCTAATTAAAATAATTTGTAATAACATAAGCAATAAAATTAAATTTTAATATGAATACTATGTTTATTTTAAGCTTTCAATTTTAAGAGTCGACGGCAAGACAAATTAAATAGCAAACTAATCGACATCGATGTGAGTACTAATGTTCTTATACTATAGTGATATTTTGTTTCTTCTAGACCAAATGCATTTATTGATACTATCTTTATTTATATTAAAATTACTGTAAGCTCTTGATTTTGAATTCCAGTGAACTTTTATTTATATTGTGTGAATGATGTGTGCATAATATTATAAATGATTTATGAGTATATTGTCTGATACATTAACAAAAATGAAATATATTTTCAAGAAATAATGATTTTGATAGAATGTTTGTATGTACATGATTGACCAGGATGAAGTCAACCTTTATTGTATTGATTAAGGAACATTATTGTACCAGTGCACGTATATGGAAAAAAATATTGATATTAAAGTATTCTAATTGGTACAAAATTTTAGACGGTGCTCCTGTGATGATTGTTCATATATAGAATGACATTGCTATAATATTGATATAGTAAGATTCATTGATAGCATTAAAAATGTTAATATTAATTTATGAAATGTTTAATTGATATGCATTTTACTTTTCTTTTTCCTTATATTGCTGTAATTTAGGAATATAAATATTTATTAGCTTGTTTAGCTTAGTTATTTTTAACAAACTTTTCAGGTTAAATAGACGAAAAAAAATTTTATAGAAGATGTGGACAACCAGTAAAGAGGTAAAATTTAAATATACTGCTTTAATCATATTGATTAGTGACTCTTTCATCGGTTAATAACAAGTTATAGAAAATGAATATAAAAAATCTAATTCAAATTGTCCGGTCGTCTGTTCCCGTCTTGGTTAAATCCAACCAAGCCCCAGACTTGGTCTTGACAAGGTTTATCTCCTTTTCAATTTTGTGCTTTCCTATTTTATATTGTTATGAGGATATAATTTATTTCGTTTAATATTTTATGTTTTTTTATTTTATTTTATTTTTTTATCCTTAAGTGGTTATTACTAATTGATTAATTGGAGATATATGTGTTATATTTTTCCTTTATGTTATTTTCTTTTTCTTGTTTTTCCTATTTTAGGATTCATGTAAGGATATTTATACATCTTTTCATATCAATAAAATAATTCCGTTGAACTCTGAGAATGAACATGGTATCTGAGCCTTGAAACAAGCCTTACTGTAGGCCCTTTATCTTCCTCTTTTTCTGTTTTCTCGCCATAAACTTTTTCTCCATGCAGGCACTGCTGCTTGAATTTCTTTTTGCAGCATTTCCCGTCGCTGAAATTCCTTCTATAGCCTTTCCTGTTGCCAGAATTTTCTCAAGCAACCAGAATCCTCTATGTTCGTTAGAAAACTTCATGCGGGCTTCCTTAGTGGAGACACATCTTCCTGTAGTCTTTATGCTGCATCCAGATCTCATTCCTGTCGGCGCTAAAATTCCTGCATTCCATGCCTTGGTTTACTTCTCCATCTTCTTCCAATTGGATCCGTGTTTTAGAGAGTTAATAATGTCAATGAAGAGGAGCATTATTGATCTAAAGGGTAAGAGGGATGTTCGTTAGGGTAGATCTGAAGGTTCCTGTCGATGACACTTTATTACTTTTTTTTTTTTTAATAAAACATAATTTTATAACTAAAAAATAATGAAAATTAATAAAAATTACATTAGAAAAAAGAATTTAATTGGGTCATGGAGAAAGTACTCGACATACGATAAAGAGTTCTATACCATTGTGAGTGCTATTAACCACTGGAATCACTACCTGCTGATGAGCGAGTTCACTCTATTCACATAGCATGGGGCTCTGGGTTCTTGAACAGTCAGAGCAAGCTGAAGGGCAAGCATGCTTCCTGGGTTGAGTTCTTAGCATTGTTCTAATTCGTGCATAATCAAAAGGAAGTCAGAATCGGATAGCAGATGCCTTGGTCTGTCGCCATTGACTGATTTCCTCCATGTAGGCGAGAGTTGTGGGATTTGAGGTGGTGAAGGGGTTGTACGAGACGTAAGGATTTTAGGGAGATCTGAAAATATTGTCAGGAAAGACCTACAGGACAGTACCATAGATCTAATGGGTACCTATTCTGGCATAACTAGTTATGTATTCCTAGATGCTCGCCGAGAGAGTTTATCATTCAGGAGAGTCATAGTGGGGGCCTAGCAAGCCATTTAGACGGATAAAGCCCTCGCACTAGTAAAGGAACACTTTTTTTGCCCCGACTGATAAGATATGTGGAGTGATATGTTGGACAGTGCAGATTTTGTCAGTTAGCCAAGATCAGAGGGCATAATATGGGGCTATACACACCATTCCTGGTACCAGAAGCTCCTTGGTTGGACGTTAGTATGGATTTTGCGCTATTTCTTCCGTGGATGCAATGAAACAAAAATTCAGTGATAGTCGTGGTTTGACAGGTTATCAAAGATGGTTCATTTCGTGCCATGCCACCAGACACTAGTTGCATCACATGTCGCTGAATTATACTTCAGGAAGATTGTGAGGCTGCATGGGATACCTGATAGAGACGTCAAATTCTTAAGTCACTTATGGAGAACCCTGTGGGGAAAACTTGATGTTAAACTTCTCAGTAGCTCATCCGCAAAAAACTGTTGGGCAGAAGTGGTGAACATGAGTATGGGGAACTTACTAAGGTGCTTTATAGGAATCATCATCAGGCAATGAGACTTGATTCTAGCCCAAGCCGAATTCGCCTACAACAGGTTCTTGAATCAGACTAGGGGACGTACCCCTTTCGGATTGTGTATGGGTACAATCCACTCACTTCACTAGAGTTAGTATTATTTATTCCTACGTCGGAGGTTAGTACGGATGCCAAGGCGAGGGTACAGAAGATTCAGAGGTTACATGAGAAGGTCGGGAAAGAGATCACCAGACAGAATCATAAGTATCAGACACAAGCTAATAAAACCAGAAAGGTGACTTTTTAGGAAGGAGATCTAGTTTGGATTAGGTTGAAGAAATAATGATTTTCCATGGTTTCGTTCGGGAAACTCAAACCTAGAGCAGATGGATCTTTTCAAATTCTCAAGAAATTGAGTAACAATGCATATAGGATCAACTTGTCAGGGGATTACAACATTTTTGCTACCTTCAACGTGGTCGTTTTGACTCTATATCGCGTAGAAATAGGAACTTCGATGATTTTGTGTTATAGGGTTAATTTTTTCTGTTCTTTATATCGGGACAATCTTCGATGTCTTCAATCCTTCCTTCTAGAGTTGTACCCGAAGGCAAGAATGTGCTCCGATTGTAACTTATCCTGATGTGGTGTTTATCTACTGTTCCCTGCTTCCAGAACCTTCATCCCAACTGCCTGACCTGCTATCGCACCTTTGTCGGAGTTGCTCTGCTGGTCTTTCTACCACCTTCCCGCCAGCCTACTTACCTTCTTACTGTCCCCCCAATCGCTAGCTTTCCCTTTCCGCGTTTCCCCTACCGTTGACCGCCCCTCTCCTTGCTACAACCCCTCCACTAGTTGCGCCTCTTCTTGCTATTGCCCTGCCGGTAGTCTTCACCTTCCTCCCTGCACTCCTGTCACCTGCCCTTGCTTACCCTGTTGCCGCCTCCCCCATTGCAACCTTCCATTTTCCCAAATCGCAATCACATTATTGTAGCCTTCTCATTGCCTTCGGCCCCAGCCCTGGATTGGTGTTTGTGCTGTGTGTCTTTTGATATTTCATATTTCAATGCTTGTTTGTTTTTCTTTCAGTAATAAAAGTTACATTTCCCGTTGTGGTTTGATTAACTCCGTTATCATTATGGCTTTTGAAAAAATTGCCTTTGAAAGGTATATTCTTTGAGATTTGATTGTGTAGGTATTCATTTACATACATCAGACATAATTTTAATTTATTTACATATCTCACATCTAAACTTTAATATTGACACCTATTGCACCCGAATATTTAATATCAGATGAAAATAACTCGATGCAATACACTTTTTCATATGTAGATTTAAAGCACCAAAGTGCTATGTATGTAAATATGAAAGTTAGGTGTGCGATATGCAAATACATAAAAATTGTATGCTAGGCATGTAAATTTCTCATTTTTCTTATAGCAAACAGTTTCCAACAAAAAAAGAAGAAAGATTAAACGGTCCTCGAATTGCAAATCATCATCGTCATCATTATTCATCATTATTGACCTCGTCCCAACTATTTGGTGTCAGGTCATATCAGAATTTTTTGCACAATTTTTACAATCATTCATCCATCCAATATCAACTCACACGTTTTTCATGTGGGCTTGAAACTAGCTGTTTCAGTTAATAGAAAAAAAATAAAATAGAAGTGTGGCCATACTGAATGACGCAGGAAGCAGCTAACAACCCTTTTTCTTATTCTAAGCACTAGTAAGATCATTTTGATGTCATTGATCCACAACTAATTACAAATGCATAAGCCTTTAAGTTAATTTGCATATTGATGTTCAGAGATATAGGTGAGCTCACATACAAACAAATGTAAAATTTAACTTGAATTTATACTGCAATTTAATTATTTTTATTTCTTTTAGGGCCTACCATTTATATCAGCTGCTGGCTTTGGTGCTGAATTGCTAGGATTATTTGCAAATGGCATGGTCCAATCATTCATTAATGCTCGTACTCTCGAACCATCAGGTAAGAATGCCCATAGGCTTCTCCAATAATCAAGGAAATGTATATTTTTTTTACATTTTTTATTGTTTTTTTTTTCATACAAGTTATTATCCCTTTAAAGTAACATTTGATTAGAAATTTAGAGTGGATTGATAAAAATACAATTTTTTGTCATGTTCGGTGGATATTTTTTGGTCACCATCTTCTATCTTATTATCATCAATGTTAGCCTTATTCCTGTTATAGTAGAATGTCTTAGGTTATAGGATTTATTCATGTAGATCTAGTATGATGTACACATATCACACAAAAAACACAAATTTATAAATCACAAATTGTTAATTTTAAAAATTATTTGTTATTTGAAATGAAAACAAAAAACAAAGTGCTTTTATGCAAAAGATAATTTAATAGCTTTTTTACTATAGATAACACATAATAATATGGAATTACGAAGAAGACCATAAATTAATTAAAATTATGTAAGTATCCGACTCATTTAAAATCAACACACTTTTAGTCAAATGAGAAGATGCAATAAAATTAAGATGAAAAAACACCACAAGTAGTAAAAGTAATCCTGATTCCTATATAAACTAGTAACCTCTCAAATGATCATAAATTTCCCACTTTCCAAGTGGTTGAGTCTTATAATGTAAAGGAGAAAAATGTTGAAATGGTCCGCGGACTTCTTATGGGGAGCTATTTTAGTTATAAAATATTTAATTTGACTAATTTAGTTTCTTGATTCATCAAATCTGATCCAAAATAGTACATCGACTCTTCAAATCTGATATAACATTGATACCGGAACTGGTTTGGAATTCAGCTGAAACAAAAAAAAATATTTATTAATGTACAAATATATAGGAGTTACAACACAACAAAAACAGAAAAGGGGAAAATACAACAGCGCTAACCTCTTTTTAGGGCCGGAAGAGAAGATCCGAGGGCGGTGGTGGCGTCGGCAAAGTGGTGAGGAAAGGTGGGGAAGGCTTGGTGTCTGTATGGTAGGCTGGAACGGGGTTTGATGGGTTGTAGATGGGCTAGACAATAAGGATTGCTGTGGGGAAGGGATGCCAGGATGCGGGTAGATGGCTGGAGGGCTGGACGGTCAAGGTGGCTGTAGGGGAAGGGAGTATGGGGTGCTGGAATGTGGACTGAATGGCTGGATAGCTGGTTTCGGTGGTAGTAGGGGCGGCATATGTGGGTGGCTGGCGGCTAGGGAATGGGTAGAAGATGAGTTAGGTAAGGGTAAAAGGGAAGATACAGCACCGCTTTGGAGCAGGATACAACCGGAGCACCACTGATCATCAGATATAGCCCTAGCAAGAGGGAAAAAAGACTCCACAGGAAATCTAAAAGCAAACAGCAAAAACTAAACCCTAACTCCAGAAAATTAGTAGATATACTACTCCCACATAGAAAGAACACAAAAGCAAAGCAATAGAAGGGAGGAGCGGTAGTATAGCCCCTCCAGGAAGTTACCCGGTTCAAAAAAGACCTAGACTGGCTCTATGCCAGCCAGTTCAGCCGGCTGGCTATTCCCGCGTTGGAATTTCTTCTGCACCCGCGTCAAATATAATCAAATATTTTGAATCATATTTAAGAAGTCAAGTGATTAAATGGAACATATTAGATAAGTTGGATTAAAATGACCCCATACAAATAGTAGAGAGACTCATTTTTTCTTAATTATAAAAAATTGCACGTCCAACTGATGTTTTATTCAAAACTACTTCATTGACTTTTTACATGCTTTAGGCCCTTTTTATAATCACAAAATTCTCAGATTTAAATAAAGGATTTCAGAAAAAAATAATCAGCTTGTTGGAATCTTGTTAAGGGTACCACAAGGCTCAATCAAAGACCAGCGATCCCATTGCATAACAATTCATAATGTAACAAAAATGAGTGAAAACTAGACAATCACAGAACATAAATCTCCTGTAAATTAAGCTAACGGATCTACGATGAACCAGCTACCTCAGGGGTGGTGGTTGGCTTACCTTCTTGTGAAGTGAATTTGTATATGTAAGTGTCTATTTTTCGACTGAGGTTATAAATTTCCAGTTAACGAGATGTCTAGTGGTTGACCAAGGCTTTAAGTACTCTTATGGGGTGGTGGTCGACCTGCTAACGTTTGATAAATTTTAATATAAATTTAAGGGAGTTCTGTGATTATAAAATGGTATTAAGCCAGAAACTTCTAAAAATCCAATGAACTAGATCTGAATAAAATTTCAATATGTGAGATTTTTTCTGTTCCTGAGAATTTCTTGAGTGAGAGATTTGAAGATCCCCGAGGGATATTATCTTCTTTTACATGTGCCAGGATTGATTCAACTACCCTGAGTAATTATTTTGCTCATACTTTCCTTTTTTTTGCAATTTAATTGAAAGCATGATTGAATTTTATCGAGTTGCATATAGTCTGATTTTACAAGTGTAATTTTCGTTGAAGTCAATGCTTTTCTGCTTATTTTTTAATTTTTATGCATCATTTTCTTGTAAGAAGCTATTAAATTATCACTTGCTATATTTGCATTTTTTTGGATATTTATCTCAACTAATTAATATTTTCAAAATTAGCGTGGGAGTTTCTTAGCTGCATCTCCAAATTCGGGTGTTTTTTGCACTTTCACTTCTGATTTTCACGTGGTGCTTACTTCATACCCTTCCAAATTACTAGCTACACGTTTCTAAATTGCAGTTAGCTCCATTAATCAAAATAGACCCAGTTTATTTGTAATTTACTTGGTTTGCTTATTGGATTTTAGTCATCCCATGGTTATTTCCCTAACACTTCATTCCACTCCTTCAGAAAACTAAGATATCCTAACTCGCCTATATGCTTTGTTGAATGGGCGTTTTTTCTTTTTGGCAATCTACCGGACACATACATCCTAGAAAAGGGCATTATTGTTTGTGTGCCCTTTTTTTTTTTGCTTGTTCAAGTTTCCTTGCTAAATTAATAATGTTGTACAACTATTATTAATAAAATTATAATGCTAGTCTTCAATGGGAAGCTTTTGATTTGGCTAAAATTTGCCTTGATCTGTGTATGTTTGATTGGTCCCCTTAACCTATGGGTTTTGGCTCTTCCATTACTGAATAATGATATTTTAGATAAGCCTAATGCAAAGTTCACTAGCTAAAGACAAGAAGGTTTTATTTGCTAATATCCACGTCATGAAATATAAATGTGACACTTGCTTGAGAAATAATGAAGTATCTGTATTCGGTTCACTGCTGTACATTACTTAGTTTTTGTAGTTCATTCTGGTCCAAATTTAACTTGCCCTTTTTGTTTAAATTTTCTGCTGTAAAATGTTAATTCAGTACATTACTGTTTTGGACCACAAACTCAAGGTTGTCCCTCCTAAATATTCACGTCTATTAAGTCTGCCAGCTCAAGTTTAGCAAATGGGTCTCATTAGATAACTGCAGCTTTAGGCATATTCAGTTTATTTTTTGCTTCTCGTTGTACTGTGTAAGGAAAATCTTTCATGATACATAATCCCTTTTCTGCAGATATGAGCGAGCCCAAAATATCTGCTGAAATAGCTAGTCAACTCCGCAAGTTTCACCAGGTGGAAGTAGTAGGTTCGAAAGAACCACAGCTGTGGAGCGATATCTTTAAGTTCTTTAAACAAGGTTTCTAACCTTTTCTCTTTGCCCTCTATCTGTTCGTGCATGGTCTAAACCAAAATCTGTTGTCATTAGTCAATTCCAATTCTTGGTCCATGTCAATGACTCGCTACTTATGCTATAGATTTTTGGAAGATTTACATACCACTTAATTCCTATGTATTTACATATCTAAACACCTGAACTCCAATTTTTTACATTGGTGCTACCTTTGGTATGCATGAAAACTGTATTGCACTTCTTAAAAGTTAAAAATGGTGGTGTATTTTTGATGTGATATGAAAGATTTGGGTGGTATAAATGTGAACTGTAAAATTTAGGCGTTAGATATATAAATACGTAGGAATTCAGTGGTATGTATGTAAATGCTCCTAGAAATTTTCAAGGTTAAAAGAAGATTCTTTTGCAGCTGAGGCACTAGAGTTTGATGAAAAGAAGCAACAGGACAAGTATAAAACCATTTCTTTCAAAGAAATCCATGCTGAATTGAATTCACTTAAGGTGCTGATATTTTCTTCATGAGTTATCGCTTCCACTTCGTCTTTTATAAATCACAGTATTACATGATTTGTGTTTTCAAGTATATACCACATTTGAACTTCCTTTCAGGTTCTTTATTCAAATAGAATTGCTGTCATATTACTTTTATCAGTCGGATTTGTTTCTGTTTGTCTGAGCTTCAAAGTTTTTGTATCTTTATAACCCCCCTTTATAAATCACAGGATCTAACTGACCAATTAGATGCCCCTGTGGTTTTCGCTCACAACGATTTACTCTCTGGTAATTTGATGCGGAATGACAAAGAAGGTAAAACGTTTCAACCATTTTTTTGAATGTGCTATTGCCATTTCAATTTTTTTTTTCTCGTCCGGTGTTTGTTGCTCAAAAAACAGTTATACTTCCAGAGAAATTCCAAGCCCAAACTTTTCATTCATATTACACCAATTTTTTTTTTATGTAAATTTACATACACACCACACAATTCCTTTGTATTTACATATCTAATACCTAAAGTTTGATATTTACATTTTATAACACTTTAGTGTCATAAAAGTATGCATGAAAAGGGGCGCTTTACTTTTACAAAGTTAATAGTTGTGCTACTTTTGACATGATATAAAAAATTAGAGTTTTATGTATGTTAATATGAAAGTTTAGTTGCTAGATATGTAAATACATAAGAATTGTGTGGTATGTATGTAAATGCCCCTATTTTATATTCTGATCCTGACATCGTACGCACCCATACTTGCAGATAAACTCTACCTCATTGATTTTGAATACGGTTCATACAGCTACAGAGGCTATGATATTGCAAACCACTTCAATGAATATGCCGGCTATGAATGCGACTATAGTTTGTATGTTCCCTCATCTTTTGTAAACACACATTTTCCATGATTAAAATTTTTATAATTTTCTTTTAGAAAATTATTCTTCCTCCAACCACCTTCCACTGCAGGTATCCTGCCAGAGAAGCTCAATATCATTTCTTCAGGAATTATCTCGAGCCGGAGAGGCCAAATGAGGTTGTTTGAATTTGAAAGATCAAGATGAGATTAGTTTTCAAATCTTATTTTTGTTTTGTCTGATCAAACTATATTTACAGTTTAGAAATAATCATTTAATATTACACCTTCTAGGTTTGATTACATGAAAATCAACCAAATTATATCACGAGAAAATTATTAAAATGATCCCGAAACTCCTTTTAGGGGGTTATTTTAGTCCCAAAGTTTATAAAAATGTCAATTTAGTCCTTATATTCTCCCAACACGGGCTAAAATAGTCTTCCTTATGAACTATTTCAGCCTATATTAAAAAAATCTGCGGACTCATTTGCCACTTTTATAGATTTTGGGAGTAAAACGACCCGATATAAAATGTCAATGGACTATTTTGACACTTTACTCATTAAATTATTGTTTCTATAATAAAAAAAAATTATGTCTTGCTCTTCTGAATTCTTTTAAACCCTAAATCTCAACATTTGTATGTTCTTAGGTTGATAACGGGGCCGTTGAAGCCCTCTACATTGAAACTAATACCTTTAGGTTGGCATCTCACCTTTACTGGGCTCTGTGGGCTATTATCCAGGTGACTAATATTATAATAATAAAATTTTCTCATCCATCAATTGGAATACTAAAGTTCTTTAAAAACTACTTGGTTTTAATAATGAATTTACAGGCCAAAGTATCACCAATTGATTTTGATTACCTCTCCTACTTCTTTCTGCGCTACGACGAATATAAGAAGCGGAAGGAAGCGTCCTTTTCCATGGCGAAGGAATACATCTCTGGTGGTTTGATCAATGGTTCCGATCTTTAGATCTTTTTTCTTTGTGGTTTTAGAGTAGTGTAAATAGGATTGCAGTGTATTCTGAATATTTAGATGTTTCTGTTTGGTTAGATGCATGCGTAGCAAAGTAAAAAACAATGTATTATAAATACTTATGAGCCGTTTGATTGAATAAGTTGAATGCATAAATTTTTTTTTCTTGTTAATATATCATATAATTTAACTTTCATATAACTTACATGCATACCACTCAATTCCTATGTATTTACATATCTAACATCTAAACTTTAATATTTACATCCATGTCAACTTTCCTATGCCTGAGAAGATGTACTCACTTTTTAAAAGTTATAATGATGATATTTTGGATGCGATATGAAAGATTTGGGTGGTATAATTATACGGACTAAAATCTTGCCAAATGAAGAGACTTAAAGTTCGTGTTTTAATCAAAATTATAATATAGGAGAGGAGGAGGTTGGTGGTTTGCATGAAGTAGTGTTGGGAATGGGGGTTTCCTTTTCATTAGAATTTGCATGTAAGAGAGTGAAGGAGCCAACCACTTAATCATGCATGTGTAACCACCGCCTGATTGTGATTTCTATATCAGCTTATCACTTTGCATGATGCCTCCAGAATGTCTACATCGTGATGACAAAGACGATGAAGATGATGATGATGTTCCAATCATATTATCAACTTCTTTACAACCAACTCCTTACCAACTCAATTTTTTGCATTTTATATTGCAAATTGCAATCTTTGTTTTTGTTTTGTTTTGTTTTTTTTTACTTATTGAAATTGAAATCCTTATTTTGCAGCAAATTCGTGTTCATGTTCTCTTTTAGAGAAGTAAATGAGGTGAACTTTAGCGTGCCTAGTGTTTGCTGTTGTTTTGCTTGTTCGAGATGTAATCTATTTGAAATGACTCATAAATAATATGTTTGTGTTCTCGGTTTATTCAAAAATTTCACAGTTTTTCACCTCCTCCATTGAGGCAAAAGCTTGCGAGATATTTGTTCAAAAGTATTTGCATCTCATTTTTTTTGCTAAATTTTAAAATCTTGTTCAAGTATTAGCATCTCACTTTTTTAAGTAAATCTCCTTTCTTCAATAAGGTTATAAAAAAGGTTTTTGTTCGTGAATGGCTTGTGTTCAAATTGTTTATTAAGTGAGCTAAGCATGAAGAAATTTTTTAAACTTGAATTATAAACAAGCCGAACATGAACAACCATTTGTTCGATTGTATTTGATTCTTTTTAACTTGAAATAATAAAAAAATATATTATATATATATATTTAGATCTATATTTTAATCACAACTTGTGCAGTCACATTGTTCTATGTTTTTGATTGCATAGAAATGATGCGGGTTCGTATCCAACACTCAACTTCAATTTTTTTAATTAATTTAAATGAGCAGGACATGAGCCGAACACAAACAAGAATATGTAAATCGAGCAGAACAAAAACACAGCATTCACGAGCAATTTTGAGCACGAACCCATTTCGAGCATAACTAATTTCAAATGAGCCAAACGTTAGCTAAGCCTAAGCTCACTCAAACACGGCTCACAAATCATTTACAGCCCTACTCTTCAGCATGAATCTGATTAAATTTTAATAATTTCATATCAAAGCTGAATAATAATACACAGTTCTAAACAAATCTGCAATTAATTGAGAAGTAAAAAAACGAACAAATACAGAGCAACTGAGCAAAGAACCTCAGAGACTTTGCAGCAGCTTCAGTGTCTCATCCACATGCTTTTCAGGCTGAAATTGGTTATTATAGACCAACTGAACCGCACCTTTCTTGTCTAAAACATAAGTCTCTCTTCCTGGCAGAGTTCCAAACAGATCAGAAGGAACTCCCCACTACTCTTTCCTCACTTTGTTTCCTTCATCACTTAGCAGTGTAAATGGAAGCTTATATTTTGCAGCAAATGCCTGCAGAAACAAACATCTTGAAAAGTTCCTCACTCTGTTTCCTTCATATTAACACTTCAAACATTGCTATTTACAAAACTAACCACCTCTTTCATGCATTTTCTTCAAATTCTCGCTCGATTTTCAGAATCCTTCAATCTGAATCTTTTATTTTAATTAAATTCTCGATTGTTTAATCGTGGCATGCATAAATGCATTCGTTTGGTAGTTTAAAAAATCTATGTAATCATCCCATCCAAATATAACTTGAACTAGCATGTGAAAGTGAAAGCTAGAATGTTAAACAGCCATTGAAGATGGAGATTATTTTGCTTTTTGGGTAAGAAAATTTTAGTTTTGATTAGTTTAGGATATATTTGTACTGAACTTTGAAGTTTAGAGATCAAGCTCTAGATTATGAAAGTCTTTTGTCAAAAAAAGTGGAGCTCTTAGATACTAAGGTTGTTTTGGTGTAATGGTTAAAATTTTCTTAGAAGCTTTGAAGTTGGACGCAGCGGTGGAACCAATAAAAAAAAATTGAGATTTTTACATATCAACCACACAAAACATTGAATATAACATTTTAGCCCAACCTAAGCTTTAAATATTATATTTTAACCACCCAAAACTTTCACTCAAAGCCTTCACTCTGTTTGTAATGAAAAAAATGGTTAAAGTGTTATATTTAAAGTTTGAGCGGTTAAAATGTTATATTCAACATTGTGGTGATTGGTACGTAAATTAAGAGTTGCAGAATACATCATTATGTTCAAATGATCTTGAAGAAATATCATCACAAACATTTAATAGAAAATTGTCTTTTTAATTAAACAACAATTAAAAAAGGAAGCAGATCTGTAAGAACTTTTTCAAGGTTCATAATACCTTATGTGAATTAGGATCATCAGCACTTATTCCAATAACCTCTGCGCCTGCCTTCTTAAACTTCTCATATGAATCTCTGAAGGCACATGCCTAAACCAAAAAATACCCAAAAGAAGAAAAAAAAAAAATCATTTAGTGAGAGCTAATGTAGTATTTATATTAGCTAATTTTACATCTGATATCTGGTAATGCACGGTTTGATCAAACAAAAACCATATTTTTTATGATTTTACCCCACAAAAATGATTGTAAATTTATTTTACTTCAATTGCTTGTCATAATAGTTTCAAATGTTTTAAAGATGATTATTGAAGAAGACTTGCTCATTCTAGGAAAATTTATTTTTATACCACTCAGATCTTTATTTGAACTTCTAAGAAGTGAAATGCAACTTTGATGCATAGGTAAGATGTCATATATATATATAAAATGAAGGTTTTAGATATGTAAATACATAGGAATTGAGTGGTATATATGCAAATCTTCCACCCAAAAAAAAAATCTAAATATACAGGTATACTTGCAACCTAGAACTGCTAAGAAAATTATATAAATTTTTTTTTTAACTGTACTGAAGCAAGAGCTTCTCAAAAATATTAAACTTGACTGAATTTGAAAAGCCACAAGGTAACGATCAAATTATCATCTCACCTCTTTGGTACAACCGGGGCTGTCATCTGCTGGGTAGAAGTAAACAACAACAGGCTTGCCTCTATAATTGTAGAGAGAGACATTCTTTCCATTTTGATCTTTCAGAGTGAAGTTGGGAGGAATATTGCCTTTCGAAACCTTCAAGGATTCAAACCAACAAAATCCTTTCTTTATGAGATCTCAGATTGGAGCTAGAAATTTGATCAATAAGTTGAAGATTTTATGTAAATAACAGTGAAATTGCACCATTACATAAGAAAACATAATTGAAGAAAGATTAAGTGTTCTTGTTTTGGAGAGTGAATGGCAAGAGTAATGGTTCACTCTCCAAAACAAAATGTGTGTGTTTTTTTTTTCTGTTAAAAATTGATGTGTATATAAGGTTCACTCTTTTCTATTGGAACATATGAGTTGAGGACAAATGAATTAAGAAAATCACATTTAAAAATATATTTGGGAAGTATATTATTGCTTGCTTGCTAATTAGAAAAGCATTTCCAAAGAAATTAAGGTAGAAATAATAGATCCCATTCTATAGGTACCAAAAGAAAATTATGCAATCTGAAATACATAAAAGATAAACACCTACAATTTAAGAGATAGGGGATCTATCCCAAACCTTAATCCTAAGTTTCAAGACAACAATCACACATAACCTAACTCAAAACATATTCCCATTTATACCCCATAATAATAGCTAACAAATGACTAAATTGCCCTTTTGGTTTTGTGCCTAACATAAGTTTTCAAATTATTTTGTAGATGGCATCAACTTGGTGAAGCATGAAGCAGATGGTGCTGTAGGCGTGGTCCAACAGATTACTACTACTACAACTAGATTTTACTTATTGTGAGGTTTAAAGACTTTAAATTTTAGGTTTAATGACTCATTGAATAGTGTAAAAATATATTGATATAGAAATATCAAATGGTTGGTATTGACTTATAGAATTAAGCATTTGGGTAGAATACGAGTTTGGATATCATTAATAATAATAAAATTTTTTATTTTTACCATTGTATTAGTAAAAAAAAAAGAGTTGAGCAGACTTTAAAAAAACTAAGTTTAAAAAAACTAAGTTTAAAGAAACTAAGGGTGGTAAATCAATAGGGTCTGATGATATCCCAATTGAAGTCTAGAAATATCTAGAAGATTTGGGAGTTTCTTGACTTAGTAAATTTTATAATATTATTTTACAAACTAAAAAGATGTCTAAGGAGTGGAGGAAGAGTATTTTAGCCCCCATTTTTAAAAATAAAGAGGATACACAAAACTATGTAAATTTAAGAGGAATTAAGTTAATGTGTCGTACTTTAAAATTATGGGAGAGGGTAATTGAACAAAAGTTAAGACATGATACAAAGATTTCTCATAATCAGTTTGGATTTATGTAAAGTCTACTATGGAAGTTATTCATTTATTGAGAGGTTTGATGGAGAATTACAGAGAGAATACGGACTATTTACATATGATTTTTATTGATTTAGAAAAGCTTACTATAAGGTTCTAAGAGATGTCCATTTGAGAGTTCTAGAGAAGAAAGGTGTTGATATAACTTATATTCAAGTAATTAATGATATGTATACTAGTTGTGTTACTTATGTTTGAATAGGAGGATTGACCAAATATTTTCTTAATTCAGTTGGATTCAATCAGAGATCGTCTTTAAACTTTGGTTATTGATTCTTTTACTGGACAATTGCAGGATGATGTACCTTGGTGTATGCGTTTAGCTTATGATCCTTCTTGTGGATAAGACTAGAGAAAAAGTTCAATAAAAAGTTGAATTATGAAGGTTTACATTGGAGTCTAAAGGCCTTCGTTTAAGTAGATCTAAAACTGAATACATGGAAAGTAATTTTATTAGTAGTAGCTCTAATGACAGAGTTGCAACTATGAGTGATCAAATCATTAAAAGGTGTGAACGTTTTAGATATCTTGGATTTTTGTTCAAAGTGATAGTGATACAAATTTGGATGTTATTAGTAGAATTCAGGTTGGTTGGTTGAAGTGGAGGAATGCATCGGGCCTATTGTATGATAGAAAAGTACCACTGAGACTTAAAAGAAAATTTTATAGTAAACATAAAAGGAAAATTTTATAAGATGGTGGTGAAACCTGCAATGCTTTATGCACAGAATGTTGGCCTTTAAAAGAGAAGTATAGAGCAAAGATAAAAGAGAAGTATAGAACAAAGATAAGTGTTGCTGAAATGAAAATGCTTAGGTGGATGAGTGGCTTGATACTTAGAGACAAAATGCAAAACAAATATAGCTATGAATGGGTTGGAGTAGCTCCAGTGGCAAACAAGATTAGAGAGAATCAACTTAAATAGTTTGATCGCGTTAAAGGTTTGATCACGTTAAATGTCAACCATGTAATGATTCGGTTAGGAGAGTAGATTTTTTATATTCGATTTATGTTAAGAAAGACAGAGGTAGACCTAAGTTTGATCGCGTTAAATGTCAACCATCTAATGATTCGGTTAGGAGAGCAGATTTTTTATATTTGATTTATGTTAAGAAAGACAGAGGTAGACCTAAAAGGACTAGGGCATATTGTATAACAAATAATCTTAACCTATTAGAATTAATTAAAAATATGAAACTCAATAGAACACACCAGAAAAAAAGGATTCATGTAGCCAACCCCACTTAGTGGGATGAATTTTTGTTGTTGTTATTGTTGGTTGAATATGCATTTGACTACTAGTGTATCAGCACAAGAAAATTGAATGTTTGCATGAGATCAAATGGTTCATGTAGTTTGTGCTTATCCCAAATCTTTGGTGCCTTTAAAAATGGTTGAGTAATGCTAAAAAGTGGGTGATTCCATAATACATAGTGATGCTAAAAACTCTCGTTTAAGGATGAGTGATGGTCTATGTAAAGAGCTTTTATAGAAGGGGGATTCTTAAGAGTTAAGACACTTGAAACATTGGGTTTATTATCACACTGAATAGTTGAAGTATATGGAATGTATACATATAAGCCTTTCTTGCCTTTGAACATAGCTAAGTAATGTCCAATGCGGGTAATTCCCCCGGTGCTTCAACATTTCTGCATGTAATGATATTAAAAAACTCTTTTGTTTGAGTGTGAGTGATGATCGATATGGAGAGTTGCGATGAGTTTATTATAACATTAAATAGTTGAAATATGTTGCATGCTTACATATAAAGTAGTTAATCATCTCCTAAAGGCCGAAGTTTTTGGGTTGAATAAGGCTTTGCATATATCAATTCTAACTTTAATCTCCTTTGACTCGACTTCCCTAAGAAGATGTACAAAAACTAAAAGTTTGACTGAGATTATGATTCACATTAGTCCGAATCCAAGTGCCAACATAGGATACAAGCTCTCTGTATTTTCTAAATTTCTTTTTATATGTATATCTTATTATGTGGCTTTCTTTGCAGTGTTCAAGACTTTTGATCCTTTTAAACAAGGTATCTATGTGAGAACCAATGGTTTCCTATTTGTCCTGCATTGTAGCTTCTAAAGCTTATAATGTACTTTCCCCCATTCTCTACTTGTCCCTATTTCCCCTTCTCTTTTGTTTCTGTGTTATTAGGATCCTAGGACAACCAATGGATAAAGTTATCTCCCTCAAACAATCTAGAAGCAAAAGATCAATATGTCTATATTGAAATACACCATAGCAAATAACAAATAAATCTATGTGTCTGATATAAAATTATCATTCAAATTACTCCCTCGGTTAGAACTTCTTAAAAAACACAACTTTTCTTGCCGCCCTAAAACATAGAAAGCCAAAAACAGATTTTCCATGAAAATCAAATCATGTCATCTGTAAAAAAGCAGAAATAAATGAAAAATTAACTACATTGATTATACCTTGGCATAAATATCAGACCTTTTGCTTGAAAGGTGGGGTGAAGCAAAGTTCGGAGTGCTGAGCTTGAGTCCAAATATTTGGGAATGTGATGATTTCGTGAGAAATGGGACAAGTTGGGGAGCAGAAGAGCTGTTAGGTTTTCTGGATTGGAGTAAGGGGAGAGCTGAATTAGAGAGAGAAGTGCACGCCATTAGAAGGTAGGGAGAGGGTTCACAGTGTGTGGGTGAAGCAGCAGCTGTAGGAGCATGAAGATAACACAACACAGCCAGTTTGATTATAACTAGGCATCTAGAAATAGTCTGACGTGGCCTTATGTGCGCCATTGTCTCTTGATATGGCGATGCCAAGCGCCCAATAAGATTTAGAAAAAAATAAAAATTTACAAGCAAAAATCTGTTTTTTTTTTCCTTAAATAAAAAGTTTTAATTTTTTAGGGTAAAAATATATATATTTTTTTGCAAAATGAATAAAATGAAAACTTTTTTATCCGTTAGTTAATGTTAACATGTTTTAAAGGGAGAATTTGTAATAATTTTATACTTCAATCTCTACCCGTAATATGCCTCTTAACTCATTGGCTACAAAGGTTTCTCTATATGAGAAATATGTTAGCACGAATCTCAAGTAGATGAACA